TATCAGTATAAAATAAGTAAATAAAAATATAGGAGGAGAAAAGAGAAGGAAGAAGAAGTTGCCCTGGCCAGATCTTATGTATGTTCTAGCAAAGGTGTTGCTCAGCACAGAGAAGGTTCAGGACCCCCACCCATGAGGCACGCATCTGCATGAAATCTGCATATATGCATTGAGGTGTACGAACTTAGGCATAATTGCTAAGATTTATTTAAATTTCAATGGAGGCAAAGCCAGCCAGATAAAATCTCATCCAGTGACTCTCAAATGCCATAAATGGCTTAGCCAGTTTGCGCTGGATTGGCCCAAAACAACGGGGAGCACGGTTCTGCTGTGCTCGTGGCCAAGGAAGGGGAAATGTTTTGATGTGGACAGCCCCACGATCTCGTCAAAGTCACCCCAGACCTGGCAGCTCAGCTTGGGGAAAGCTGTCTTCCACTGGCACTGGAGACCCTCGGGGCCCACAGATCTGGCTCTAGGGCCAAGCAGCCGCCCCCGATTCTGGTCCTTCCGGACCCATCTCAGAAGGCTCCAAAGAGATGCCTCTCCACCCCCTCACCCACGCGCACCCACACACCCTTTGGCAAGCTGGAGTGTCCAGCAGGAGACGGACGGACGGTGTCACCCCAGTGCCAGCAAAGCCGTACAAGACCCAGGAAGGGGGCCTGGTCTTTCCAGCCACCCTGGACGGCTGAAGCGGCACTCTTTTGGCTAGAGGTTGCCCAGATGACATTGGGAGGGGTCCCTTCGGCTTTGCCAAAGGGCCAACTAGAAACTGAACAGAAATAAGACCTCTGGCCCGGCACTCAGATGCGGGACGGAGGGTTTTTCCCGCAGGGTCACCCTTGCCGTGGTTCAGGGTTCAGGGAGGAATCCCCCAGAGGCTCTCCTCAGTGAGTCCCATTGAGTTCAACCGCAAAGTAGGGGTGTCTTCTCCCTCCTTTGCTGCCCCATGCGTTGGCCGAGCCCTCCGTGTCGCTCCGGCTGACTTCTGCTGAACCTGAAGCAGTTCAAACATGCGCCGCGGGAGAGGAGTGACAGCTCCCCAGCTGCGCCAGCCCCTGGCTCCTCACTAGGCCCAGCGAAGGCTCTCTGGCCCCAGCCGAGCCAGCTTTCGAGCTCTGCAGATCTACTGGGCAACACGGGCGGGCCTGGAGAAAGGGCAGGCCGGGGAGGGAAAATGGGCTGGAGGAGCAGTGTGTTTGGGGCCAGGGGTCATTGCTGGACGCAGAGGTTGCCGCCGGGCCCCGGGCTGCCATGAGCCGGAAAGCGGGAAATGTCGGATCTCCCGTTTTGGAAACAAGAAAGCAGGTGCACCTGGAGGTGTTCCCATTCTGGGAGGAGCACATGGGCTCGCTTTACTTCGTGGTGGAGACATCACTGCCACTGATCGCCCCTCATGATTTTGACGCTGGCGTCTGCCGTCGGTGAATCGCTGTCGCCTCCTTTCTCAGGTTCGAATTTGGACAGGCGCTCTTCATCGGCTGGGCCGCTGCGTCTCTGACCATCCTGGGCGGGGCCTTCCTTTGCTGCTCCTGCCCCCGAAAGGAGACCTCCTACCCGCCCACCCGGCCGTACCCGAAGAGCACCCCGGCAGCCGGGAAGGATTACGTATAATGCAGCCAGGAGACGGAGACACGCCTGGCGGTGAGGAGCCCGAACGGACGGACGCTGCCTTCCCGCTGTCCCTGCGAGAGCAAAGTGCTTCACTGGGCACATGGCACTCCCCCTCCCGACGGCAAACCCGCATATTTATATCATTCCTAGATAGATATGTCATTATTTCTGGTCCTGGACAGGCAGTGCTTCCCTGCCCCTCCACCCACTGGGATGGAAGGGCATCCGGTGCAGGTCCCTCCATGGAGGGGCAAAAAGGAGCTGGGGGAACCTCCCTCTCGCCCCGTCTCCGTCTCACCGGGAGGAGAAAAGTGACCGTCACCCAAACAGGTAGCTTTTCCTCTGTTTACCCTCTTCATGCGTGTGCGCAACTGGGTGTGACGCTGCACTCACTCGCGTTGTCTCTGCCACCCAAACCATTTGTGTGCATCACATCAGCCAAAAATACCAGCGTAGCACATGAGGCCAAACGTGTGATGCCCTTGAAAAAGGTTCTGCTTGAAGAAACCGTTTTGAACGTGTGAATGCACGCGTTCCCCTTTGTTCCCTCCCTCCTCAAGACACAGAAATTAGGAGAGCGGGAACACCCGAGTAGAGGGCCATATGCCTTCCCCTCTGGCCAGGGCGAGCGGGAGAGGAGATCCCACCCCGTGGCTGGCCCAGCACTTATCCCCCTGGAGCCGAGGGCAGGCTGGCACGAACAGGCGGGAGGCGAGCCTGGGCACCGCCATTTCCCCAGCGCCTGACTCCCGGGCACATCCTGCCCAACGGAGGGGCTGCAAGGGGAACCTGCCGGAATCCAGCGGTGCTTGAGTAGGAGCTAGGTTCCCATTTCATCTCCGCAGTGGTTTTGCCCCTGTATGGCCGTGGGAGCATAGTCAGCCTCAGTGCGCCAAATCTGTAGAATGGGACTATTGCGATGCATCTTTGGGAGAATCGACGAGGCTGGGGAAATGGGCTTGCTCCCCCGAAAAGCTGTGGCTAAGGCTGCCAGTCTGTGCGTGCTGACTCGGGAGTAGGTCTCACTGGCCTCTGTGGGACTTGCTCCTGAGGAAACAGACCTTGGATCAGGCTCTGTCCCCCCCCCCCCCCGCCCCCAATTAACTAGGTGACCAGCCCTAGTTTGGGAACAATCAGCCCTACAGCCCAGATCTGTGCCTGGCCCGCCCGTATCCGTCGGCTAAAGCTTGGGTGGGGTGGGGGGAGAATTTTCTATGGGGAAGTTGTATAAAGGGATAACTGTTTTCAATAAATGTAATCCTTTTTCTTTTTTTAAGATAGCCTGTCTCCTTTCTGTTGCATATTTTTGATACTTGTGCCCAAAGAGGGGATTTTGAAAAAATCAAACTGTTGGGAAATGGCTGCTTTGATGGGTTCTGGATGGCCGCAACAAAACCGGACCAAGCGCCACTGGAACGCCGGGACAGGGTGACTCGGGTTCAGGCAAGGAGCCTGATCTGGAGCAAATGAGGGCAGGGAAAAGAGAGGCCCCGCCAGGCGCCCCAAGTCTACCCTTCCCGCAAGGGTCGGTTCTGAGCACCCCACTCCCGGGAGGACTCATACATCTGAGAAGAGCAGGGGCTAGAGAGCAGCTCCTGTGCGGACAGACCAAGGGAGCTGGCTCAGCTCGCCTTGAGGAGAAACAGAGAAACAGGGCGAGTCAGAAGGGGTCTCCCGGGCCATCTAGTCTGACCCCCGGCACCAGCCGGCTCTGCTCACGACTTCTGCTTCCAGGCACAACGTGTGCCGTATCACTGGAGGCCCAAAAGAATGGGCTGAGCTGATGGGGGCCGAGTTTGGCTTTGCCTCCCAGAGACACCCAAGCAGGCAGAGAGCAGCCAGCGGCCAGAAATGCTTTACCCTGGGCCAGATGCTCTAAGCAGCCCCCTCCGGCCCCACGGACTGGTGGTTCTGGGAGGCCCAGTGAACTCTCGGGATGTCCTTCCGTGTGGTGGGCACTGCAAGGACCCTCCGTTCAGCTGGGCTGAAGGGGGAATGAGGGGCGCTTGTGGGTCTGGGCTGGGGTCTGTCCGTGGTTGTTACCTAAAAGCAGGGCCAGCTGACATGACGTGACAGCCGTTTTGGGGGGGAGGCCTCCCCTGCTTGCTCATGTGGGGTCCACTTGCAGGGAAAGTCTGGGGGCACAGGAAGCCTGCACAGTCGCACTGGGTGACGTGAGGCTAGGCAAGGAGGGGCAGTCACTCCGGGACAAGGGAGGGTCCCCTCCTAGCGGGAGGTCGTCCCCCTCTGATCTGCACCCTAATTTTGACATCTCATATAATTCAATATTCTTCTGGTTTAGTAATATCTTAATTTTTGCATATTTCTATTTCTGTTTTAATTGTGTACATTTTTATGTTTATGCCGCTGCCATTGAGGCTTAACTGTCCCTATTATTGCACCTGTGGGAAGCAGGATGAGGATGAGGATGAGGATGAAGGCAGGCAGCACGTGCTGCAGCACCTGGGCCGCTGGGTCAGTCAGACCAGGTCCTGCAGCATCCGTGCTCCACCTGCGGCACACGCGTGAAGGGGGGAGAGCCGGCGAGCGGATCGGGCTCCGGCTGAGGGCCCAGGCCTGGTCCAGCGGCCTCTGGCCATTCTAACACCGAGGGGTGTCCCGCACGGCGGCAGCTCTGCTCAGACGTGGCCCCCCGACTGAGGAAAGGCCACGTGTGCAGAGGGGCTGCACTCCGGGCTCGAGTGTGCCAAAGGCGAGCAGGGCACGCCGGAGCTGAAGATGCTGGCAAACGGCGGCAGGAAGCTCTTGCAGCCAGAAATCCAGCTCAGGAGAGGCATGTTGAGGCATCAGAGTCGGTGGGGAAATGGCAGGACGCGGGGAGGCCACCCGGTGCAGGCCGCAGCCCTCTGCGGAACCTGCCAGGTTTGGCCCCTGGCCGGCGCTGGGCCCTGCTGGCTTGGGTGGCTCATGAGCTCTGGTACCCACTTCCACACTGGGAGGCAAGAGGTGAGTTGCCCGCAGCTCCTCTTCTGAGGCTATTACGTTCAAGAAGACTCAAACTCAGCAGAAACCACCCCGGTGTTTGGAAAGTCGCACCCAGCCGACCTGCGGGTGTTGGGGGAAGCGGCTATCAGAAGCGTCTCCAGGCGCCCTGTTGCACTCCACCACTTCCCACTGTTTCCCATCTCATGGGAAGGGGATGGAAGGGGAGCGCTCGAAGGGTCAGAACTCAGGGATGCCCGTTTTGGGGGTGGGGGTCTGCCCGACTCCCTGGCTCCGCTCCCCAGCTCTGGCCAGCCTTCTCACGGCTGTGAGCCTGACCGCCCGGTGGGCAAACCGAGTGTTCGCACAGCAGTCACCCTAACCGACAATCCCTCTTCAGCACATGAGACTGGCAGCTTCTGTTTGTGCTGCACGTGGACATGGGGGAAAGTTGGTGGCTGGGCCAACGTTGCTCTGCAAACGGAAGAGGGACGGATTCCATGGGGCTTCACTGAATAACTGTCAGGACACGGGGCAGAAATGGGAGGGTCTGATCCCCATTAATCATGCGGGTCCCAGGTTGTAAAAACTTGGACTTCCAATTTGCGCATGATCCGTGCATAAGAAGTCATGGCTGCCCACCGTGCCCATGTGGAGAGGACCGCTGGGGCTCACCCGCTTGGCTAACAACCCCTCCCACCCCCTGGAGATGCCACTTTGGACAGTGCTTTAAAAACCACGGCGAGCAGGCCACGTCACCCTGCAGCAGGCCTGGTCTAACAGGTCGGCCAGGGAAGCGCCGGGCCTCTGCTGCGTTCCAAGCCAGGCCTTTCCATCCCACACTTCTTGCTGCATCCTGCAATTAAACTTCAGGGGTTTTGCAGCTTGCCTGTTCCACCCGCAGAAGCAGGGCAAGCCGGTGGCTGCTGCGGGGCTGCTGGCGCGGCTGGGGCCTTGCTGGGCTTCCGGAAATCACTCTTCACGCAGACTTTGCAATAAGCGGAAGGGCATGTGTGTAGAAGCTCAGCTGCAAGGCCCAAATGCAGTTCTCACCTGCCCAGCCCGCCTCTGGATCTCCCGCACCAAGCACGTGGGGGGGGGGCGCCGTCCAGGCCAGCAGGACCCCCTGCAAGAAGATGCTGCGGTTCTGTGCAGATTTCTGCTGGTCCAGCAGCGGCTGTGGAAAGGCAGCCACCAGCTGGCAAGCTTCCTCCCAGCCCGGCCACCCGTGGCAACTTCCCTGCCTCTGGCGCTTGCCACGCGTGGCAGGAATCCACGTGGCTTCCAGCAGGGCGTCTGTGTGGCTCTGTGCTCCGCCATTTGCCCCCAGATCGGGGCTGGGGGGGGCTCTCTGCATTTCCTACTCCGGCGGATCTTTCCCTGGGAGTGCCAGTCAGGCGCACTACGGCCGTTCAGTTGCTCCTGGCCGGGCACCGCAGGGCCTCCTGCCCCCCCCCCCGGTGCACCTCCCCCGGCCCCTCTCGGGCCTGGGCCCTGGCTTCCCTTGCGGAGAAGAGGCAGGGAGCCAGCCCCGAGGACCCGCATGGGAGGCTGCTCCTCTGCGGAGGCTGCTGCCGGCCAGGGGCGCGCGTCTCCGGGGCTCTGGCCCGTGCCCGGCTGTGAGCGCGGCGCGGAGGGGCTGGGGCCGCAAGGCAGGCAGGCGTCTGCGCGGGTGGGCTCCGAGGCTGCGCACCCCACCGCGCCGCCTCCCCCCGCTCCCCGCAGCCCGGCCAGCGCCCCGGCAAGCCGCGCCTCCGGCCTGGGAGGGAGTGCCGGGACCCCCGTGTCCCTTCAGCCCCGCCGCTGGGGCCAAGCAGAGGGCCCAGGTTCCCGCCCCCCCCGCCCAGACCCCACCCCAGAAGCTGCCTTGATCCGCTTGGCCGCCTGCACCCAAGGCCAGTCTCCCCCCTGCCCCCAAGGCATCACATCCTCGGAGCGGAATGACCTCATCCTGGCAACTGCAAGTGAGAATCCACCTGTAATTCCAGATTCGGTTCCGGGTTTACCAGTTTGTGTGCAGACGCAAGACCAAACTTGCTCATTTGGGGCGGGTCCTA